CTGGGCAACAGAGCAAGACTCTGTCTCCAAAAAAAGAGAGAAAAAAAAGTACAATGGTGTAACCACCATTGTACATGTCAATATACATTCATCCAAACCTATAGAATGTACAATTCCAAGAGTGAGCCGCTATGTAAACTATGGACTTCAGTGATAAGGATGTGTCAATATACATTCTTGCATTGTAACAAATGTACTACTCTGGTATAGTGGCGGTGGTAGTTGTGTTGAGGGGCGGTGGACAGTGTGTGTGGGAACTCTCTGTACTTTCTGCTTAATTTTGCCATGAACCTAAAACTCTTCCAATAGGTAAATTTTATTAATTAAAAATTCCCTGACACATACACAAAAATTAACTCAAAATGGACTATGACATAAATATAAAAGCTCAAATCATCAAACTTTTCAAAAAAAGTAATTTTCATGATGTTCATGTAAGCAAAGGTTTCTTAAGTTTCAGAAATAATACCTATAACAATTGAGAAATTATACTTTATCAAAAATTAAAATATGCTTATCAAAATGCGCAGTTAAGAAAATGAAAAAAAATGAAAAAAAATGAAAAAAAAATGAATAGGCAAGCCGCAGGTGGGAAGAAAATTGTATACATACCGCTGGCAAAGAGGAGGTACATGGGATATACAATGATACCCTATAATTCAATAAGCAAAAGACAAATAACCCAATTAAAATGTGCAAAAAATTGTACAGACATTTTACAACACAAGATATATAAAAGGACAGTAAGCATGTAAAAAAGTGTTCAGCATTATCTGGCATCAGGAAAATGTGAATTAAACCTGATATGTGCAATTTATTTAGAAATGCATATAAAGTGAAGTGGCTGGATTGCTAAATGGGATGATGATGACATAGAGATATATGCAATAAAACAAGCACAGTAAAATGTATATGGTCAAATATAGGTGATGAGTATTAGGATGTTTATTACAAAATTTGTTCCACTAAGTTGTATGTTAAAGTTTTTCCATAAGGAGATCTTGGACAATATAAAGACAAGTGAATACAATAATCATTAAACAGTAATAAAAATGATTTACAATTATGAAATATCTAAACTGATCTAGAATGTGGAAATTATGCATTTTATTTAAAAGCAATAAGTGCTGCACAATAATAACACAGAGAAGACTAGATGGATTGGGATATGGGAGGTGCCTGCAATTTTTTTTTTTTTTTTTTTTTGAGACGGAGTCTCGCTCTGCCGCCCAGGCTGGAGTGCAGTGGCCGGATCTCAGCTCACTGCAAGCTCCGCCTCCCGGGCTCACGCCATTCTCCTGCCTCAGCCTCCCGAGTAGCTGGGACTACAGGCGCCCGCCACCTCGCCCAGCTAGTTTTTTGTATTTTTTAGTAGAGACGGGGTTTCACCGTGTCAGCCAGGATGGTCTCGATCTCCTGACCTCGTGATCCGCCCGTCTCGGCCTCCCAAAGTGCTGGGATTACAGGCTTGAGCCACCGCGCCTGGCCTACAATTTTAAATAGGGTTGTTACAGAGTCTTCACTCTGAAAATTACGCCCAAGTTCAGAATTAAAGGAGGTGAAGCAATTAAGTAAGCAGCAATTTGGAGGAAGGTTGTTATGGTTAAGGGTGACAAGTGCAAAGACCCTGAAGTGGACCATATCTAGCACAGTTAAGAGAGAACACAGAGGTTGGTTAGCTGGAACAGAATGAGCAAGGTGTAGAGTAACAGGAGATCAGGTCAAAGATCTGGTAAAGAGCTGCAGGTGGACCTGTGGGTTCATGTGTGTAAAGACTTTGGTTTTTACTCTGACAGAAGCACAAAACTATTGAGACTTTTTATGAAAATAGTGGCATCATTGATCTTAGGGTGAAAAGAATTACTCTGATGGCTGAGAGTATATTGTAAAAGAACAAAGGTAGAAGCAAAGAGACCATTTTGACAACTAGAGCTGTAATCCAGGAAAATGAGATAGCTGGACTAAAGGTTATAACATTAAAAGTGGTGAAATGTGATTGTATCCTGGTTACATCTTAGAGTATAATCAACCTGATTTGCTGATATGTTGTATGTTCAGCATGAGAGAAAGAATCGTCGAGGACAGAACCAAGATTTTTTGCTTTGAGAAAGTGGAAATATTGAGTTTGTGTAAGATACAGAAGAAAAGAGGAGAAGTGCTGGAGTGAAACTGCCTTTGAGTCGGCAAGAGAGAATGAAATATGGTGTATAGATGAAGGGATTAGATTTAGGGGAATAAACAGTTAATTTTACCATGGGTGAGAGAACATGGTATATGGTATAGATGATATACATATACATACACATATACAAATTTGTCAAGTGGCAAATTTGTCTCAGGTAGCTTGTGAGAGTCTTCCCTTTTGATTACTTCTTATGTTCTTAGTGAAATAAAAAAACTTGGTCATCAACTGAATTTTATTTTTACCTTTTACATTAAAAAAATGTACACACTCTTTGACCCAGATGTTCCACTTCCGGGAATCTATCCTTTGGAAACAAAACACTGGCATACAAGGACATAGGTACAAAATTTATTAGTGTATCAATGTTTATAGTGACATAGAAAAAGCCTCATATTTAATATTCATCATTCACAGAGAAATAATTTTATACATTTTGGGTCATCCCTATTATTAAAATTTTTTCTCCTATTTGAAAATCCAGTAAATGTATGTGTATTTACCTGGAAGGATGGTCATGTAATATTGTTAAGTGGGCAAGGGAAAGTAAAAAACATTGTGTGTAATGTTACTGTTTTAAATGAACAAAAATAAATCTTATATACATTTCACATGTATGTATAAATATGGGTAAAGATGTTAAGAACAAACAACTAACAATTTAAAATTGGTTAGTTGAGGAAATAGAAATGGAGGATTCATGCTTTAGATTTACATTATTTTTCTTTATCTATACTTGCATTGCTTCAGTTATATTAGGAAACACATTGCTTTTGAATAAATACTTATCGGAGAAAATCCATTTTTTAATAAAGGCATATTCAATTTTTTTGTAAAAAATTTACCTATATACCTGATAATTTTGTGTTGGGAGTATCATTCGATATCATTATGTTCATATTTAGATTTTGTTTAACCATTAACAGATACAGCCGAGTTTAACTCCCACTCTATAACTCATCTGTCAAATGCTTTCTGAATGTTTCAAAGATTTTACATCACATTTTAAAAGCTTTTTTATTTCAAATGTCAAATCATATTTATGCCATATTTTCATTAATAATACATTTTATCATAATGCAATTACCATTCCAGTATACCTTATATATTTTCTCATAATTTACCTTTCAATCTAATTATTATGTCTTATGGTGATGCATGAATTTACACTCTGTTCAGCCATTATAAAATTATGTTACTAGGTCAACTTACCATCATCCCAGATCACTTTTATTACATTTCCTATTTGTATTTTTATTATATCTCTTGGTTTATGGGTTTATTTTGCTTATGATTGAGAAGTAAACTGATTTCCAATTTTTGTTGTAGTTGACTTAAATATTCTCTTATAACCGTTTTAGTAAAATACTATTTTCCTATAAAAGAATATTTAATCATATGATTATGTAGAATGTATTTTTAATAGAACAGTTTATATACTGCTATGGTCTGAATATTGGTGTCTCCCAAAATTCATATATTGGAGCTTAATACCCAGTGTGATAGTAGTAAGAAGGTGAGCCTTTAGGAAGTGATTAAGGCCTGATAGCTTCATCCTCATGAATGGGTTAGTACCCCAACTAAAAAGAGGTTTCAAAGGAACTCCCTGTGCCTCTGCTATGTAAGGACTCAGCAACAAGGCACCATCTATTAAGTAATGAGTGAGCCCTTACTAAACACCAGATTTATTGGCATCTTGATTTTGGACTTCGCAGCCTCCAGAAATGTGAGTAATACATTTCTGCTGTTTATAAGTTGCTCAGCCTAAAGTATTTCATTATAGCAGCCCAAAAGGAGTGAGACACATATGCATATTAAAGTCACTTCTAACACCACCACAGTTACCAATCTTCTGTCCAGCTTCCCTCTGATGCCTTTTACTATTTCATGGAGCTCTGACCCTAAGTTTACTGCATTTTTGCTTCCAGCAACCTGTACCTATGACTGCTCAAAAGAGGACCTCCACACAGGGTAACTTAACTAATGAAGGTCTAGTGCAATGCAAAAATATGAAGGCCAGCTCTCTTGCACTGGGGCAGAATAACTCTGACATACATTCTAGACTGCAGAGAACCCTGGTGGAATCGAGTTGCAGCTATCCTCTAGGGCAGGAGGCTTTGCCTGAAATTGCATTCTTGTTTGGGTTGTTCCCCTGCCTTTCCTGCTTGTCTCACTCCCTTACCCTGGGAGCTCTTTCTTCAGAAATCACTTGCACATGGATTCTTGGGTCTGAATTTGTTTCAGGGGCACCCAGTCTAAGTTACACTCAAACTATATGGCTATTAAATTTCTGTCTAATCAAACCTTCACCTTTAGGCCTCTGCTTTTTTTTTTTTTTTTCCTGGATTATAAGCAATTAAATTGTTTCAAGAGGAGATTACTGAATGAGTGCATCCTTTTAGGGTTCTAATATTTTATACAAATCTTCTGTCAATAATGTCTTATTCTACACAAATTACTTTATTGGTCAAAATTGAAAACTCTATTTGAAAATCAAGTCAATAAAGAATATGTTTAGGAAGAGCCAAGATCTCTCAGCTTTTTTCAACTCAAGTTACATTTGTTACCACTTATTTCACATTCCTAAAAATATGTGGTAGAATTAATTTCTATCCTAGCTATTTTTTAGAAACCAGTTTTCTCACTGTCTGCCCTGTTCTACGGCTTATTAGATATATACTGGCTTTTTTTTACCTTATATCCTACCTAGAACAATGATTGCCCAAGTCATTTGATCCTGGTTATTGCCCAGTTCTGACCCATTGTTTCTTGGTGTTGACTTCCCTGGATTATTGGTTGTCTTGGCTTTGACTTTCAGGTTTCTTTGGTTTGACAGCACATTTGGACACATTTCTGCAAATTGGCCCTTGGCATCTCTTCTTGGAACAAAATTTTGTATTTGGACTCTGGCACCACGCACCACAGATGCAAGCAAGAAGCACTTCTACCTTCTGAGGCGGCCCCTCAAACTCAAGCCAGCTAGGCTAGGCCTGTCCAGCTTTCCGTCAGAAAGAAGGATTGGAGAGTTGCTGCTTACTTTCTCAAATGTCATTACTTAGCCAGTCTTCTGGAGACTGAGATTCATGAACATTGGACTCTTGCCTGTAATTACAATTCTGTAGTATATTAACCTTATTTTCAGTTGTATTTTTAGTTGCTTTATGACTTCATCTTGAAAATACCTATACTCTTTCTGCATTTATTCTAATCTTACTTCTGATCTTAATTTTAAAAGATCTTTATCAATGAAATCATATATAAAAACCTCCAATAACCATTTTTGAACTTTAAGATGTATTCTTAAATTTCTAGTGAAATAGGATTTAGAATCAACTTTGTGAAGATTACTAACAGAATAACAAATAGCTCCTACCATAAGGCAGTTTATAGTTAATGTAAAGAATATTACACTTGTTTATACATCAAAAAGCCATTTTCTTTCTGTAAACCTCAGAGAGCTATCTTTATTTAATGAATGAATGAATGTTTGATGAATGAATTCCTGTCAGTCTTTACTGAAGTCTTATCTCTTATCTGGAATTCTTTCTTTAGCCCCTATGGCTTCATAAATTCCAACCAATATTCTGACTTAATTCAGATTCCTTACAAGGATCTGAGAAGGGTTGGAGCTGTGGTATGGGTATGACTGGTAGATAGTTTTGAGCAACACTGTCACCAGAAAATCTCTATTTTTCTCCCAGTGACTTTTTGTTGAGGGTTGAAGAGTTTCCTTGAAGGTAAAAAACAAAAAACAAAAAAAACCTGTACTTATCCAAAATGTTACAGATGTAACTTATGGTTCAACAGAAGCCTTTGCAAGCCAGGATACAGAAAGAACCTTGAACTCTTGCAGAAGTTTGCAGATTCAGCAACTTCTGAATCTGAGACTGATGTAGGAATGAAATGGTAATTCTGAGTATGGTGTGGTACCAAGTCCTGAAACCGATTCCAATATACCTACCCTAGAAGCATGTGGAGATCCTGAGGACATGAAGGGCTCTGCGTGTGATCTGGAAAAGGTGTTCCACTATATTCTGAAATATGTATGGGCTGTGGCAGGCAGAGCCAATTATCCAGCAAAAATTCATGAATTGTTACTGAAAAGTGACTTCTCAGATAAGTATTACCTTTCTCAGCTCTCCTTGTCATTAGGCATTACCAGGGTGACTCAGCTCTATCCAGTGGAATATTGTAAGAAGTGATGTTACTATTCAAGATCTGGCTCATGGAAGTGCTCCTCTGTGATCTTTTCTCTTTTTTTCTGCTGCCTATAATAAAATCTTCTCCCAGGGAACTTTGGAAGCCTCATGCTGAAACAGCAGGAACTTCACCAATCTGGGTCTCTGTGTGACTGAAAGTGTAAGAGATGGCAGATCCATCTCCCTGTTCTCTCACCTCTTACTGTCACGTAATCAAGAAATACACTTCTATTGTTGTGAGCCATATATGCTTTTGAGTCTACTTGTACTGTGAGTCTACTCTAGTTCAGATGCTCAAGCTCTCCTGCTATGGAACCCTACCCATTGAGCTTAATATAGTGGTATGAAACATTGCAAAGAGTCTTGACACACTGTTTGAGCACTGACAACATTACTGTTGCAAATAAAAAGGTAGGAATATGGACCTTAATGAAATAAGAGGCCTGTCTGAGGCAAGGATTGATGGTGAAGATAGAGCTTGGAGTAGCAGAGGATGGTGGGAAATTACAGCTCAAACTGATATTGAAGTGCATATAAGATCCTTTCTGTTGTTGAAGGGGTCAGAAGTGTCAAGGCATTTGAGTTCCTGAATGAGAAAATGAGAAGTCGGAAATAGCAATATTCAAGTATTACTAATAATGTGACCTTAAATGTATCAGATTGGTGAGGCATGTATGCATTGTATTATGCTATTCTACAATGGGGCACAATGACAAATGCTTAAATCAAAGATGAATAAGAACTGTGCTGATGACAACTGAAAGCATTTATTGAAAGACTGCTCAAACAGATCAGCACTTTGCCATATAACCTATCCTCTTAGCCAAATTTAGGCATCCAGATCACTCAATTATTTACATATGTATTAAAATGTCAAAATCAAAGTACTGGTTCAATCACTTGGGCATTCAGAAATATTCATTGGGCATCTGTTATGTCTGTGGTATGGTACTAGGCAATGGTGATGAAATGGTGGATTAGAATGGACAAGATCTCTGTTTCTTCCTGGGGCTTATTTGCTGGTAGAGAATATACAGCATAAAATGAATAAATAAGTTGATAAACCTTGAAATTGGTATTGTGAGGAAAATAAAAAGTGTTTTTTAATAGAGAATATTAAGAAACATGAAAATGAGAAGGAGCCAGACATGTGAGGAGTGTTCTAGACAATGAGCACAGTAAACACAAAAACACTGGCAGGAAAGAGAAAGTTCAAGGCACTTGGAAAAGACCAGTGTGGCTGGAACATGGTATGTAAACAGTGAAGCTGCTAGATATAAGATTGCAGATGTTGATAGAGGCTAAATCAATCACGACCTAATAGGTCATGGTGAGGACATTGAGTTTTTAACCTAAAGGTAATGGGAAAAAAGGAAGAGTTTTTGTTTTTTGTTTTGGGGTTTTATTTATTTATTTTTAGTAGCAACAAGGTTTCATTATGTTACCCAGGCTGGTCTCAAATTCCTGAGCTCAAGTGATCCTCTTGCCTCAGCCTCCCAATGTGCTGGGCTTACAGATGTGAGCACCACACCTGGCAAAAGGAAGGTTTTAAGCAGAGCAGCTAAATGAATTGAAAGAGAAGTAACCAGTTAGGAGGCTATTATCATAAACCAAGCAAGGAATAATAGTGACCTGGGAAGGCAATGGTAGAGATGCAGAGTAGTAAATGAATTTGAGGAATATTCTGGAGATAGACTCAACAGGATTTACTGTGCTGATTACTCTGAATTTCTTTCTTTGTTTCTTTTTTTAAAGACACAGGATTTCACTGTGTTGTCCAGGTTGGGGTGCAGTGGCTAATCACAGGCACAGTCATTGTGCACTATAGCCTAGAATTTCTAGGCTCAAGTGATATTCCTCCTCAGCATCTTGAGAGCTTTGTATTTCTTGCATTGCAAATGGGTGAATACAGGATTACTGGAGATTATTCAGGTTTAAGATTTAAAGTCAAGAGGTCTTCAGTATACATATTTTTGAAGTACCTTCATTATATCACAGCTATTAAGTAGGCACCAGAACACAATGATAGTATCATCAGCCTTGTGCTAGCCTTTCCAGAGAAGATTTAGCTTTTTGACAGTCTACATTGCGTATCAGCTTCCTTCATGTTTGCATTAACTCAAGAGAAAAGATAGATGGATGTTTCAGCTCTTAGTTTCTAGTCCTCTGTCGTGTCTGCTAGTTCTCCAATTTTATTTCTATGTGACAACTATCACCATATTGAGTGGTTTAAAACAACAACCATCTTTTTATATTGCCCTAATTCTGTGGCTGAGGAATTTAGGTAGAACTCGAATCTGTTCCTTATGGTATCAAATGAGGGCACTCATAATATTCAATTAATAGGCTGGTTTGTAGAGTCTAAGATAACTTTATTCACTTGTTCGTTACCTTGGCAAGAATGACTGGGATGGCTGGGTTCAGCTGGGACTGCCTACTTCAATGCCTTCAGGTAGCCAATCTAGCATGGCAATTTCAGAATAGTCACACTTCTTATATGGAGGTTAGCCTCCCCCAGAGTGATCATCTCAAGAAAACTTGGCAGAGACTGCAAGACCTTTTGTAGCCTAGTCTTGGAAGTCATATAACATCACTTCTTCTGCCTTACTGGTTGAAACAGCACAAGGATTCTCAGAGTCAGAAAAAGGGACATATACTCTACCTCTAGATGCAAGGAGATACAAAGAAATCATAACCATTTTTAAGAACTGCCACACTATTATAAACATATTTCTTAGATGATTCTGTGGTGCTGTAACAGAATATGTGAAACTAGCTAATTCCTGAAGAACACAGAGTTGCTTCTTACAGTTCTAGAGGCTGAGAAGTCCAAGGTTGAGGGACTACATCTGGCTAGGGCCTTTATGCTACATCATTCAATGGCAGAAGGTAGAAGAGCAAGTGATCATGGGCAAGAGAGAGTGCAAGAGATCAAATATGCAGTCTCAATCCCTTTTATAATAAACATTAATCTATTTATCTAGACACCTCCCATTGGGACCCATCTCCCAAAACTGTTGCATTGGGGATTAAGTTTCCAACACATGCTTTCTGGGACACCTTCAAATTATAGTACTTCCAAATCTTGTATGTTCTAGTAGAATAGTTATTTAAGTTATTTTTAGTTTCTGAGCTTCTTAGAAAAAGGCAAGTTCATCACTTTGAAGTGTACATTAACTCAATAAGTAGAAAGATGATGAAGCAAAGAATAAAATCAAGTAAGTTTTCTAGTGCTAAGGATCTTAACTAGGGAGGATTCTCTTGATAACGTCACGTCTTCTAAACGAAGAAAATTATAAACGAAGAAACATAGGCCTGAAAATAAGAAAACCTGTGGTTTTTATTCAGGCCTTTAGTTTGGCCGGTTAGAACACATCAGTATCCAAAAGGTTTAATTTGTAAGTAAGACAATGTAATTCTGTTTAATAAAAAGCAAGTTGTTCCATTTTTCATTTGTGGGGTGGTTTGCATAGCATGCTGGTTAATTTTATGTATTAACTTGGCATCCAAATATTTGGTCAATCATTAGTCTAAATGTTGCTGTGAAGATTTTTTCTAGATGAGATTAACATTTAAATCAGTAGACTTTGAGTAAAGCAGATTACTCTCCATAATGTGGTGACCCTCAACCACAATGAGCCGAAGACCTTAAGAGTAAAAAGGAGGAGGTCTCTTGGGGAAGAAGGAATTCTGCCTCCATACTATCTTTAGGCTAAAGCTGAAACGTCAACTTTTCCTTGGGTTTCTAGCCTGCTGGCCTACCTTGCAGATTTTGCACTTGCCAGCCTTTACAATCATGTAAGCCAAATCATTAAAATAACTCCCTCCCCTCATCTACAAACACACGTGCACACACACATACACCATACCTCTCTGTCTACACACACACACACACTCACACACACACATGCAGACACATGTATACATCCTCTTGGTTCTGTTTTTCTGCATAACTCTAATACACATAGTTACAGTTGTTCTGTATGTCTGACTGTATTAACCTCAACTAACTATCTAATGAATAAATGTATGATCAAAGACAGTGTAGGGAAACTTCCCACTGGCATTTGAAAAACAATCAGTGAATTGGCTTTATTGTAAATATGAAAGTCAGCAGCCTCTTTCTGTCCTATAGGGATTAATATCTAAGCAGAAAAATATAAATTCATGTAATTCAATAAAATCTGTTTGTTTTTCTTTTAGAACAATGGCTCTCAACTTCGGTATTAGTATCAGCTAGGGAACTTGTTAAAAGATTCCAATGCTTTGAGCCCCACTCCAGACCATTTGCCCCCCATTTTGGGAGGAAAATGGTGGGCATGTATAGTTGTGTTTCGTTTCCATTGCTGCCATGACTCTAATGTGCAGCTCATCTTGAGAACCACTGACCTAGGCTAAATGTTGCAACATGGCAGCTGTTGGGCTGAAGCTATCTCATTAATCCATCTTGCTGGGCTAGCTTTGTGTTTTTTTGTTTGTTTCTTTCTATGTTTGCTTTTTCAATAACTTGAATTTCAACACTCTGCGGTAGGTACCTACTTTGCCATTCCTGGCTGTTTTACAAAACAGCATTGCCTTCCATGTCTCTAGTGGCTTTCAAGGGCATGATTGTTGAATTTTAGACTGCAAAGTATTATCATCAAATACATATTATGACTTTAGGTAGAGGGACTGAGAATAAGGACATGAAAGTTGGGAAATGCGTTTGGCAGATCATGAGGAGCACATTCAAATCCAGACAGGGTGAATTTCAGGAAAAATTGATTCTGATTCTGATCATTCCAAAAGGCAAGACTTCAAGAAGAATCTGAATGATGAATATAAATTTTGTGTCTTCAGACATTAGAAGAGCAGACAGATGATACCTTAATTGTTTAGGTGTCTCAAGCTGTCTATCTAGTTGTTTTTCCTTGTTAATACTTAAGTATCTTATTAATTAATTTCTTAATTTTTTATTTGATGCTTCTAAGTTATCATAAGGATCTATAATCCAGCTTCCTTCCCCCAAAGTATCTCTGCGTTCATTGTTTTTAAAATTTGGGAGAAAGAACATTTTTAGCTTTAGAGTCACATTTTTTTTTTTTTTTTAATTTAAATGCTCTAGTTACAATGTCCAGAGAACTTTGGTAATTGTTGATTTGGGCAATGATGTCATTGACATTTTATAGCTGAAGTTCTTTTTTTTAAATAATAGCTAACTCCAGACTTTAAGTATTATTTTTGTTGGGGTATAGA